CAGATGCGAAAAAACGCGTCGGGGATGTAATAATATTGAAGGGAATTTCTTCTTTATCTTTGTCACGTGATTGGTCGTTATCGTTTATTTTGTTTTCTACTTGGTCAGCCCAAGAAATTTGTTTGTTTTTTCCTTTTTCTAATAGGGAAATAGGAGGAGTGTTTTCGTTGTTGCTGCTGGAAACTTTCGCGTGCATAGAGTCGTTGGTGCTATTTCCTTGTTTTTTTAAGGAAGAGTTTGTTTTGCTTGAGTCAACTTCCATTTCATAAACTTCTGAGTTTTCGAAAATAAAGTTTGTTGTAGTAGCAGTAGGTACTGGTAGTAGAGAAATCTGAGTTTGTTTAGTTTGTTTAGGAGCTTCTGTTGTTGGTAAAATAGTGTTATTATTTGGCAGTTCTATTTTTTGTCGTTTTGTAGTTTTTTCAGTTATTTCGATGTTTTTATTTTTGTTGTTGTCTAGAGTAGACGAGGTAGCAAGTTCTATATTGTCGTCTGCGTTGTTTGAGATATTTTTATTATATGGTTCAGGTTTTTTTCCGTAGTTGCTTTGTCTTCTTGTAATTGGTGACATTATGTCGAGGAGAGAGATACCTACCTAATTGGACCACCTGATTGGACCAATATTTAGTGAGATAATTCGAAAAGATTGTTAAGTATAATTCCGTAGATCACTACTAAACGGAGTCGTAATTCCTTAACGCGAATTAGCGATCGACCGGCCGAAATTACGAAAACGACGGAAACGATGAAAACTATCATAACGACGAAACCGATGGTAACGTCGTTAACGAAATTAAATATGTTTACATAGTTAATGTAGTTTACTTAGTTAAACCTGTTAATTAAGTTAACAATGTTTACAAGGTTCCTGTAGTTTATTAAGTTGTACTTTATCTTAATTTAGTAATAGAATTAGATCCAAAGTTTTGTATAAATAGGATAGGAATTTCATGTATCTCCAGTAGTCAGATATAAGTTAGTTAATAGTTAGAAAATAAGTCAGTGAGTTAATAGTCAGTTAATAGTTAGTTAATCTTGAGTGAATTACAAGTCAAATAATTACTCAGTTAATAAAATCAAGCTAGATAGTCTTGATATTGATTATTAGATAGTTTTCCTAATATAGTTTTGATATAATTTAGTTCATTGTTTATTCTTTAATTTTGTAAGTTCATGAACAAGAGCTTACTTAAATTATTAAATGGTATTGATCTTAATTTCTCTAATTAATAAACCAACCTTTTACATTATAACTTTAATTAGTTAAACTCGTATCATAAAATCTAATCTATCATTATTGCTCTCCTATATAAACAAATACATTGATTGTAGTGATTTACTTTGATAATTCTATTGACGCCAACAAGACTTTAGGATTATTAACATAAATTGTTATCCTTCAGATACCTAAAACATTGCTATATGCGTTGAAGTTTACTTTTCAGTCAGTAGACTTTGCAATCGACTCGTATAATAATAGTTAATAAAAAAAAGAATTTAATCTTTTTTATTATTATAATATACAATATTTTAATTATTTATATTAAATAATAAGAAATTTTCAAAAAACTTTTTATAATTCTATAAAAATTGTATATAATAAATTTAATATTTACTAAATAATTTTATTTAATTATATTATTTATAACTTTAAAAGTTATTATAAAAAAAATAATACAATATCTTAAAATTTAGTATAAAAAAGTTTTTAATATATATATTATAATAAATAGATATAAAATAAAATCTTATCTTATTCTATTTTAAATTTTATTTTTTTTCTAAATTTTTAAAAAAAAAAATTATAATAACTAATGAATTTTAAAGATTTTAATTTATTAGTATTATATTATTTTATAAATAGCATATTGATTAAAATATACATAAAAATATAATATAAATTATATAAAATTTAAAATATAAGACATAAAATTTAAAATATAAGATTTTAAATATAATATGAAATTTGAAATAGAATAACATTTTATTATAAAGTATGAATAACAATTATATTTATAATATATTTAATAATTTTTATAATAATTTTTATAATAATTTTTATATAATAATTAGTGATACCTACTTAAATTATTTTTATCATGACTAAGCTTTTGTCAAATTTTTTTTTGATTAAATTCTAAAGTCTAAATTTTGACTAAACTTTTAGCAAATAACTAAATGACTAAATTGCTTTATAATATATAAATTATAAATTTTTATTTATTTATCCTTTTATTATTTATATTAATTAAATATATAATAAAAATATTACTAATTAATATTATAGATAAGAATTATTTATATGAAAAGTTTGCTAGGAAAATCAGGCTTTGAGAATTTTTTTGACTAAAATTAAGATCTTATTACATTTAATCTAATAATATCAAATGCAATAAAAATCAAAATTTTGTTAAAAAATTTTTCAGAACTCAATTTTTCTATTAAACTTTCCATATAATAAACATAATAAATAATATTTTATTTACAAAAATTCTAAATTTCTAGAATTTATAGTAAAATAAATATTATTAAAAATTGTGAGTTAAAATCTATGGAAATAAAGTTTCAGCATTTCGCATTTTAATTATTAAAGACAATGGTTTCGGTTTTGTCATATGACTAAATATTTCAGTTTCGTCTAGCATCATTAATAATAATAATAAAATTAGCATTATTTTAATCTTTATGAATATAAATATAAATAAATAATTTAATTATTTAAAGTAATATTTAAATTATTATTTTAAATAATTTTATAAATAATATAAAATTTAAATATATAAAAATAGTAAGAAATATATATATATATAATTATAGATTCAATTTAGATGTTATAATTATTTGTCTTTTAGTGACTAAATGGGCCCAAATGTTTGTATCAATTTATTGGAATTATTATTAAATGGGTTTGCGTTAAAAAAATATATTAATAGATTTAAAAGATTGCTTAAATCAAATTAGATAAAAATGATAAAAAAAAATTGGTTAAAAAAAGTAGCACATATAACCAAATATAGTTAATCGGCTGATCAAATTATTAATAATACAAATTTGGAATTCGCTTTTTAAAATTTTTATCATATTTTCTGATTGTTTTTTTGGTTAAAGTTTTACCTGGTTTCAACACTCACTCTTCAAAACATTTCAAATAATTGGATATTAAATGAAACTTTTAATCCATTAAAATGTTCGCTTTGCCCTTTTTAATTGATAAAGTGTGTAAGTTTTGTTCCTTGAAATGTCATGAAAATTTTGACTAGTTGATCTTTCAGTCAGAAATTCCAGGGGTTTGCAACGAAATTTCGGTCATCATATATTAGGTTTCAATGAAACAAATAAACTCTACAATTTTAAACAAAAGTAACCAGAAATTTATCTCAAAACCATCTTTGCGATGTGATGTCGTTTTTGTAAATGATTACAATGACGGATAAAAGTCGGATTTATTACCTTACATTCTCTCACTTGGTAAACAAACCCGCTATCTTTATGGAATAAAACAACGAAAACCTTCCCAATTTCCTTTGGAAAATCCGAAATGCTAGATTATGTTTCATCAAATGGTTTTTCTGGTGCAAGATACACTCCATCCAAACAAAAATGGCGACTTTTTTGATAGTGAAGCAAATAATTCCTTGAAGCTATTCCACAAGACTGCACTGTTGAACTCTCACATTGCCAAAATTCTTAACAATGATTATAGAAGAAAATAAACTGGGTTTAGTAGTAAAAAATTAGATAATTTATATTTGTTAAATATTGTGATTATTATTATTATTATTATTATATATTAACCATTAAGTTTTATATATAGTCATATTCGTTGAAGCATGCATTTAGGAGCAGTTTTACGACGTGAATAAATTTGTGGTCAAAGTATTACGATAAGCATTAAGGCTGCATGAACGCTAAATACTAGATAAAGGCAAATATACAGTATATGAGACTTTAGTTCGGAATTTGAGTCAAGAATTATGGCATAAAACAACCGGGAGGACAGATGGTGGGTGGGTAAGGAAAGTATCAGATTGAGAAGAATTTGAAACATTTAGGGTTTAAAAAGATAATAACAAAAACTTTATATGTGCTTCTAGATCGTGTAAACGCGTTGAATTTTATCCTGTGTCATAGCTTGCAAATTGTGTGACTCGAGTCGTGACACATTGAAGTTCCAAGATTTGATACTCATTCAGAGACCTTCAGATAATCATGTGTATAATCATCTATGAAATTTTTTGATTTTGTGCATTAACGTTGACGATATTTTAGTTCTGATCGTCGCTTTATTAATTTGGTCGGAATAAGATCTTATTTTCTTGGCAGGGTCGACAATAATTTCTCTTTTTACATTCATACGTTAGCTAATTTTAAACGATTTTGTCAATTTTAAGCAAAGTGTATGACTCATAAATTGGTAATTTAACACTAACGCTCTAACTAATTTTCCCGACGGGATATCCAAGAAGGGTTAATAATGAAATTTAGTGTTTGATGACCGAGTAACACCGGATATTAGCTGATGACATACAAATGGTCATGTCCCATCACCAAAAGCTTTTAAAAGTGAAAGAAGTTGGGAAAAAAAGGTGTCATTATCAACAATGAACAGATATAAAAAATTTCCCTAATAGGAATAAGCTAAATGCATTAAGCAATGACGTGATATTTCACACGCCCTTTCTCGACAAACAAGACTATTTGAATGAACCGAATCTGTATTATCTGTGTTTATTAGCTTTTTTTTTCCCGTATATAAAGGTATCATGAGTTTTATTTTTTTTTTTTTCACAAATAAAATTAATACAAGGTTGAGACATTATTCAAATTATATTTTTTTACCATTTTACTTTTCAAGATGATAAGAGTGAGTTATCCTAAATAATCGTTTTTTTCTTTTACTTTGCACGCGCAGTACTAATGTTAAATGAAATAATTTATTTATTTATTTTTTTTTAGCATTTAACATACTTAAGTATGACATCAAGAGATACGGAGAAGCATCAAGGAGATTTGGATCCAGAATTATTAGCGAAAGGAGTTATCGACGAAGAAAGTGAAATTCCGTACGTTCATGTTCCAATTACATTTCCCAATATTTATGGGATATGTAAGCATTGTAATAGATCCAATTCATTTATGAATTGGTGTCTACCATGCATTTCCAAAAGGTTTCGACAACGACATGAAGATAAAAAATGGACAAGTGGCAATAAAATTATTGATGAATATATTGTTAATGTACAAGAAAATGCTGGTAGACCTTCCGAAGTGGTCGAATGGATACCTTATGAGAGAATGATTAATATAAGATTTTTCGAAGAAGAAATGTACATCGCCAATTGGATGGATGGTTACATCGTCGAATGGGATTATGAAAATAATAATTGGAAAAGAAATGGGATTGGTGTTGAAGTTTTATTGAAGAGAATCGATGAATCTTGTGTTTGTGCCAGATTTCCCGGAGATCTTTTGCATAAGGTTTGTTAATAAAAAAAAAAAAATAACAAAAAAAAATTATGAAAACGACAAAAAAGGAAACATTAAAATTATTATTATTATATATTTCTTTTTTTTTTTTTTGAACAATTTCATAGATTAAAACGCAATTTCAGTTGGATACATGGGATATTATAATCAAGAGTTACGGAATTACAAGAGATCCGTATACCGGAACCTACTTCATGGTCATGCATTAGGTCTGGTAACAGATGAACTTTTTTTTTTTGTATATTTATGTAATATTATTTAGATGAGAATTACAAGACTTTGTTAAATGTATATAAAGTAGTTAGTTATAAATATATCTTTATTTTTATACGCATGCATATATAAACCTTTTCATAAATAATTGTTTTTGCCCAAGAAAAGAAAATCCCGCAGGTGCAAGGTTTAATTTGGCACATCTTGCTTTTTGTCTCTCGTTCAACTTTTTCTTTATCACTTTCTTCTTTGTTTGGAATCTATTAAACATTACCTGACTTTCGTAATTTACGAGATTTAAGTTGATGCATCCAACCTTATTTTTAACCGATTATCAGCTGAAAGCAACGCGTTCTAAAAAAGTGTTAATTGTAATGATAAATATGGAGAGTGACAGCACATGACCTCAAACGTTTTACACAGCGTCCCGCCTGACCTCCTCCCTACATATGCGTTGCCTATCGTTCTTTGTTGAATCACCAAAAGAATTAGTTCATGGAATGTTCCCAGTTTTACCTTCCAAAAACGGCGATCTTATTTGTCCACAATTACACCAAAAACACATCTGACTTTTTTGCCACAAACTTTTTTTTTTTTTTTTTTGTTATTTTCTTTTGATTGTTCACGGTTCAAAGTTCTAACCCGATTGAAAAAGACTCCGGGATTCCGACGCGTTTACCTCAATTAACCAACCTAGGGAGGAGCGGATTGACAAGAGGTGGCTTTTTTTAATACATTTCAATTTAAGCAGGAATTTTCACTGGTTTATTCTATAAATATGAAGAGTATGGCACCCATAAAGTATAAATTAACCCTAGACAAACTAACTTTGAGAGAAGAAATACCGTTACTTGATATACCCATTCCGTCCCGTCCTTTGAAATATATGGATTACATTGCCTTTATAACCTGCCTCTTTAGTTTAAACAAAAGGTTTATCGTAATTTCCTTTCATTTAATACCAATTTTATCTTTATGAAATACCATTATTGAATTTCGTGTTATGTGAAACTTAATGGAAGGGGCAAATAACATTTTAGTATAAAAAGCAATTTCTCTCTTTCTCGGTTTCCATGGTGGTGATATTTCCAACTCTTAACTTTAGCTCGAATTATGACATCAGTCACATGACCGGTGTTCATATTCTGAACAAAAAAATGAATTCATCCAATCATAATAATTCGCGTGATATTTCTTTATATAACAGAAATCTCGTTCGCGTTCATTACGTAATATACCGGGTCTGTTTATAAAATGTTCTAAATTTTATTTCCCATTGAAACGCTCTTCAAAATAAAATGAAACCAAAATATACAAAATTTACACTAAAAATATTCTAGTCTTATTTCATATCGTCTATACCCTCATAAATAAACAATATAAAATGATATATATATATATGACACACATAACAAATCCCAAAGAATAAAAATTCTTCTCATTATTGAATTTAAATAGTTGTTACATACAAATCTTTTATTACATATATAAACCTTAATTTATCTTAATTCAAAAGTCATCTTGTCGGGGAGTCGAGGCGTCTTCAATTTATTAAATCAACTGAAATCGAACTTGATAAAAGCATGGAATAATTATCATTTCCAACAATGAATAAAGTTTTTGTGTGTTGTGGAATTAAATACGTATAAATATTATAACAGGTGTATAATACATTCGCTATAGCAATAGCGTATATCAAGATGCAACATCCGGCCAAAACCCTGATATCAAGTTTTGGCACTCCGAATATCCCATATCCATGCATCGTGAATGTTAAAAGGAGGTATGTTGACTTTCTCGTTCAAGATGAAAATAAAGCAGGAATCTTTTTTTTTTTTTTAAAAAAAATTTTGACGGTTTATGGATAGGAATGAAATTTGCATTGACAAATTGTCAATTCAATATATAAAGTGGTGTGTGTATATATATATGTTACCAATTGACTTATATGAAGAAGACTATTATTACAATAGGTTTCTAAAACAAACCGTCATTTATATTTAGAAAAAAAAAAAAAATAATAATAATTGCACACATAAGTAAGATTATTGTCGAAAGTATAATTACCATTTGAATCATTTTTTTTTTTGCTTTGTTTTGCTTTGTTTTGATTTGTTGATAAGCTGATTCATTTAAGATCTTATCCCTTTACTATGAAAATTTACGCTCTTTAGGTATGATCATCGTTCGACTTTTGGCTCATAAGGATTAAAAGTATTGGTTCGAAACTTTAAACGAGCAATTCAAGTGTCTTAACTAGGGTAAATTCTTTCAAGTCGCGTAAAATTATCATTTCCCTGTAATACAAATTTGGCAATTCAATCATAAATGGTTGTCACACAAAGCAAACAAAACCATTGTTTAAATGACCCTTCTATACGCCAAAAGATAATTCTCAGACTTTAAAATCATGTGGAAAGCCTGTAAAAATGTTGGCGTTTTTTTCTTTATTGGGAATATTGTGATTACCTTTATATACGAAACCATGTTTACTTGAAAGAAAACTGGATTTTTATTCAAAGAATCTTTTAAACGCATGAAAAGGTTCTTTAAGAATTTTATGCACATTTACATCATCATCAAAGTCTTTTCTATTGAAATGACCTAATTGAATTTTTAGAATGTTAAATGAATACCAAAACAAGCTCAATGAACAATAATTAAAGACAATACCAATGTTGCTACGCCACATAATACGCTAGGGGTGGAACTTTGTATACCGTATTTTTTTTTTTTGATTAATCGAGAAAAAAAAAAAAAAACATATCAAATAATTTTATACCGATTTAGTTACGTATTTCTCAAGTAAAAATATCGATCTATTAAAAGATTGAAGATCGAATTTTTTCATAAGGTTACAAGTAACAATATGCAATGAATGCGTCAATATCATTAATAAATAAATTATAAATAAAAAAAAAAAAAAAGGTTGAGCAACTGATGTAGAGGGCAAAGGAATTCAAAACGATTTTTTCAATTTTGTACGATATATTTTTGGTAACACTTAAGGCGACGCACAACAATTGTTACCCATTATAATTGCATGTTTTCATATTTATTCCGTCATATTAACGAGGAGATCTAATAACGACTCCTTAAATTTTGGTTTCGCAATTTATTATTTTTTTTTTTTTTTTTCATATCTTTTTTGTAAAAAAATGTTAATATTTACAAAATATTACCACAAATTTTTTACGCAAATGAAATTATGCATTTCTGAAATCTAATTGGTTTCAAGTCCAGTTTTTTTAATACTACATACCGACTTTCTTGGTCGTGGTACGGATTTGTGTTTATTGGTGCACTAAATAATCAATTTAATATATATATATATTGGAGCTTTTGAGAATTCGAAACGTACTAAAAAAAAAAATAACTTCTTTGAAATATAAAATAAAACTTCACTGATCATTACAAGTAAAAAAAACACAACCCCCACGGGATAAAAAGTTCCATATCAGAGTTTCTGAAGAAATTCAAGTTAAAAAAAAAAAACCCGCACATCATAAATATAACATCCTCTATCTAACATTCTAACAAAACAAAACAATAACCCTCAATAAATCCATTTCCAACAATCTTCAGAAATGCTTCATGAAGGATTTCAAGTATTTATGAAATGGGAATTCTTCAAAATGGCCATGTTTGCCTACGGTGAAAATATAGCTTTAGGTTTTTCGATAGCGTACATCTTTGTTTACTCTGTAAATTATATTTTACTTGAAAGTAATGTACAAAATTCTTTGAACAACAACGAATTTATTGTCAATATATGATATCTTTCTTTTTTTTTTTTTTCTTTAATTAGTTTAAGATTTAAAGCGGGTCTTGTGGCAAGATCATAAATATGTATGTATTTGTTACTATCAATGTATGTAAATATTGGTATCTTTATATAATAACAAAGAATAATTGAAATTAGATAAGTAATTATATTATACCAATGTTCATAGCGCATAAGGAAATTTCTAATTTTGCACGTGTAATTATTAAATTATTTTTGTTCAAATAAAACATTGTTTATGTGTGATTGTAAAAAAAAAAAAAAAAATTTAATGGAAATGTTCCTTTGAGAATGCGAGAGATAATTTATTTTTTTTTTTTTAAAAAAAAAAAAGTGAAATATTAGCTTCCCTTGATAGTCGATTATCAAAGCTTCTCTTGATAGTCGATTATCGAATCTTTTCAAAGATTTCTATATTTATTTTTTTTTTTTTGTTGATCAGCCCGACTTTCAAATCAGTTTCTAATTTGGTGAAATTGGCATTCCAATCCCTATCTCTAGGGTTCCAATTCCATAGCGGAGAGAATTAAGGTTTGATTGGATTGATAAAGGGGGCGGATAATTAATTAGAATTTTCCGTTCGTGTTACGAAATCGGATTATTTTATTGAAATGTGGAGAAACAAAAAAAAAAAATAAAAAAAAAAAGAAAAACTTTAAAAACTTATTCGGTTTTGATTTCGATTTTTAGAATTTAATCTACATTTATTTAATACATCTTAGGGCACCTCTCCGATTTTATTTTAAGGGGCACGCATATTGTTTAAACTTTTTAATTGTTCGTCGGATATTCCGACTAAATTGATTTCTGCACACAAATCAAAAAGCACGCGTAAAGAATCTTAAAAGGATAAGATTTTTTTTTTTTTTTTTCATTTCTTTTTTGAACTTTATTAAATTTTTTTTATGGTTTTGCAAAGATTTAATTACAGAATAAAAAAGAAGGAAAAAAAAAAAAAGAAGGTAAATATATGCTAATGTAGATGATGTTAAAAATATGTAAATGCAGGGTTAATTATATGATAGCACAAAACTAAGTACAAAAAAAAATATTTTTGATTAATTACAGGGGATATAAAATACAATAGATGATGTAACGGTTATTGGGAGAGAGACTAATTAATTACATCGATTATAAAAAAAGGAATGATAACAAAAAAAAATAAAAAAGTTTATCAGAGAATTTTCAAATTCAGGAAGGCGATTGATAATT